ATATGGTGTCTTAATCATCCTTCCTTCACTGTACCCATACCGAAAACATCATACATAAGACTTTGTGGGGAGATTCTAATTTACGTTCCTTATCTTCAAGGCTCAAAAAGTCACACTACGTTCCTTATCTTCAAGGCTCAAAAAGTTCAAATTTTATACAGCAACTCTAATGATTTAGCCCCATTTTTTTTACAAGAAAAAAAGATTCTGACTATAGATATAATAACTCTAAGGTATGGTATCTGTTGTTGATACCTTGGTTTCTACAGCATTGAACTATAAAATGTCTTTGTTTGGAAAGTATTATAAACTGAAAGTTGTCGGACATTTAACAAGAAATTACGAAAGACAGAAGAAGTGATACAAAAAATTAATCTTCTATCATTCCGTTATAAATAAAAAAAAAAGTAATTTTTATTCTCAAATCAATAAAAAAAATTTCTTATCAAACAACTTCCATATAAAACATAAAAAGTCCACATCAACAAATAAACATAATAAGAATATATGGAAAACTAAACCCAAATAATGTTAGGAACAATGATGCAGGAGTGAAAGAAAATTAATGTATCTTCATATGTTTAGAAGAAAACTTTATTTTTTTAAAACCATAAAATTAATTTTAATTTCATCAGAATATATGTTATTATAAAAATCCGGCGCGTAACGCCGGGCTCTCCTAGTAATATATATAAGTTGATGTGATTTTTTTTACAATGTACTTATATTTAGTTTATTTTTATTAATATTATATATGCATTTATATTGTAATGGGGATAAATGATTTATTATTTATAAAATATTTCTAAAGTTTTTCTAAAATAAATATTTATACATCTCTTATATAATAAAGTAGAGTTTTTTTCTTCATAGAGGCAAAAGTTGATACTTGTCATTCTGTCATTCGTTGAAAGTGTTTTAGGTCCAACTATAAAAATCTTTTATTTTATTTGAATTTTTATTGAATTTTAAAAATGATATGATTTTTAATAATATTTTTAGTCCAGTAAATTAAAAAAAAACCTTTCTCACATTCAACCTATTTTTCAAGATGGATGACAACTTTCATATCTCTAAATCTGAAATATCTAAAAAAATATCCTTGATTCTTAAATCTATTTGCTCGATTTTAAAATCAATATTCTTGATTCTTAGATCTATTTTCATTTTGAAATCAATATCCTTGATTTCCCAAAAGATTTCCGTAAAATGAGTGCCTAAAAGAAAAGAAAAAGCTCCAAAAAAAGTCAAATCAAAACGAGGAAAAACTGAATTACACAACAATTCTAAAACCGAAAGTAAAAAAAACGAAAAGAAAATTAAAATCATTTTGAAATTAACATTCTTGATTCTTAAATCTATTTTCTCGATTTTAAAATCATATGATTTATTAAGATTTGGATATCCTTGATTTTCCTAAAAAGTTACAATATCTTTGATTCTTAAATCTGTATGCTCGATTTTAAATCATATCATTTATCAAAGATTTTTAAATCCAAATGTTTTTCTAAAGCCATTAAAATAGTGAAATCAGTAACCCCCACCAAATGTAATCACATGTTTACTATAACTATCCAAGAATCAAAATTGTATGAATTAGTAAAATGTTATGCAAGCATCTGTAATGCGTGTACGCTTACAAAAAGTTCAGTATATAATTTTGTTAAAACTATCAAGTATTATAGACTCAGTATAGTAGCATTATTGTAGTTATGAATGATTATATTACAAAATTTAATATACACTAATTTAATATACGATTTTTGGCAAAAATAAATATACAATTATTTTTTCAAAAAAGTTTTAAAATTTTACACAAAACTAATAAATATAAAGTTATATAAATTTTAATTATCAGGTATGATATTTTATAGTTTTTTATTTAGTAATTTGGAGAAAAATATTACCCGCTTCAACATCAACAAAAAAAAATTTATTAAAAAAGATACTATTATAGACATTGACAAAAAAAAATTTATTAAAAAGATACTATAATAGACATTGACAGAAGTTTGAAGAATAAAACAATCACCTATACAAAGACATTATTAAATACATCAATTTGTCAAAAAGTAATTCATCAAATAATAACCAAGCAATATCATCTAGACATTACAGTTTTTGATCAAATATCATGTAAATTTATTTAAAATCTTAGCATAATTAAAACAGAAACGTATAACATCTACTGTCAATATTAGTTCGTTTACAATTTAATAATTTAAACTTCATTTTATGATTTATATTTTTAAAAATCGATATATAAGTATTATATATATTCAAAATTAATATAATAAATTAAATTAAAGTAAAATTTATATAAGAAAACCCGGACATAGCCTGGGAAAACCCTAGTAAACGATAAAACAGTAATTGTCTTAAACTGAGTCCCTCAACATATATATATATATATATTAGTATTCTGAAATAAAATAAATAAAATATTAAAATTTGATGTAATGAAAATTATGGTGTAAGTTCGTGTAGAGTTAATCTATCAAAACAAGCTCAACGTTTCTTTGTAAGCAGACGTACCTCCACTTTTCTACTTTCTTTTCTTGCTTTAAGTTTTTATATTGATTTTTGTGATTAGAGATTATTAGCGAAAGTAACCCATGCGGTTGTTCTTAGAGCAAAATTAACCACAAAACCTCTAATGGGCTCTTAATAACTTTTCTAATAACAGATCTAACTTCAGAACTTTATTTAAGAAACTTCGTGTTTTAACTGCTCCAATAGTTTCTTATTTATAGGTTCTTACAAAAATATTTAATATTATTTTATTAAAGATAAAATTTATTTATTAAATAAAACATATTAAAATATAACATTAAAATATATATTTTAAAATAAAAACATAATTAAAAGAAACATTTGAGTTCAGTTGTTGTCTTCATAACATCCAAATTTAATCTACAATGTTCAGTCAAATCAGCTTTCAGTTGTTGATACATTTTCTATCACGAATTCTTGTTCGAACACCCATCATATTAGTGATATTTGTAGGGATATTTGCAAAATACGTGAGATCAACATGTGAAGTTATGTTGTTTTCCTCTTGTTGGAATTCTGAAACATCATATTGAATGTATCCATCTCGTTCGTCTTCTACTATCATATTATAGAGTATGACACATTCTCTCATTATCTTCCTAATTTTGACTTTGTCTCATAAAAGTGTTGGGTTCTTTTAACAATGGCGAATCGAGCTTGCAAAACTACAAAAGTACACTCGACTTTTTTTTCGGACATCATCTTGATGTTGAGCAAATAAAATCGCTTTCGGGCCTTGTGGTCTTAGAATAGATTGGATAAAAGTTGTCAATTTCGGATAAATACCATTGGTGAGATAGTAAGCCAAATGATACTCTCTTTTATTGACAGAAAAGTGACTTGTGGAACTTGACATTTTATTATGTCATTAAAAACAAGTAAGTGATCAAGAACATTAATATCATTTAAGATCCACAAAATGACTTGCAGAGCTTGACTTTCTAATCCCTGATTAAGAAGCCTTCTTCAGATTTAACCTATTTTTTTAAACCCTAATTAAATTAAACATCCCAATTAAGCAACCCGGTTAATCATGGTGTTAACACGTTTTTTTTCCTCTTTCTTATCCAATAAACAAAAATTTTAAACAAGATTACTATCAGTTACTTGTGGTGAACTCAAGGAAAATGATCAATAATGGAAGCTAATCTATCTTCATTGACGATTATTATTAGTTTTTGTAAAATGTTTTGTCTTCAACGAGGAGCTACATGAGTAGTGGAAGCATAATCTAGGAGGCGTATTAGATACAAAGTGTCCCACATCGAAATAATAAATAAGATAGATGGTGCAATCCACTTATCACCAATTGGTTTTATGTTTGAAGTCCATCTAATTTAACATAGTGAACATCTAGAGATTAATAACATGGTTGGAGATCTTCAGCATCTTCTTGAACACACAGTAAAGCGATGTGGACACAACACTTAATTTAGACTACTTGACCATTCTCTTTGAAAGGATGGGTCAACGATCTCTAATGGTGACTCATTCTTCAACAATTTAATAGGTTGAGCACTGTTAAATAATATTACATATTTCACAGCATCTGTATTAGACTTTCGGAGTCCTACGGGAACTTGCCAAACTCTGAAATGAAGACTATACTAAGAGGATAACAGAGGAACTGAAACTTTTGGCTACTTACATCATTTTCTTCTTTCTGTACCATACAAGATCTATAGCTACTCCACACCATAATTAACTACACATCTCTATTCCAACCATTCTGTATCTTTCTCCTTCATAAAAAGAGTATAGTGTACTTACTTGCTGGGAACTTATAGGAAATGAACAATAGTGGAAGCATTTCAACTAATTGTGAAATGTTTTGTCTTCAACGAGGAGTTAAACGAGTAATTGAAGCATCATCGACAGAACAGAGAGCAGACGAATCCATTGTTGGACCTGCTTCCCTTACTTTCTCAGGTTTCATCCGTAAGAAAAATCCAGGTGGTTGAGGAACGGGAAGAGCAATTGAGCTAGTAGTGAGCATCTGGACTATTTCTGACATAGTTGGACGATCTTCAACTTCTTCTTGAACACATAGTAAAGCTATATGGACGCATCTGCTAGTTTCGTTTACTTGACAATTCTCTTGAAAGGATGGATCCACTATCTCTAATGGCGATCCATCTCTCCAAAGTCTCCAAGTCTAATAATAAGAAAACGTTAATCACAACAAAATGATACAACAAAATCAAAGTTCAAAGGATGTATACTCACATATGTTACCAAATTTCCAGCATGACCATCCATTTTATAGAGACTGCTATTCTTTTTGCCGCTAATGATCTCAAGGACTAAGATCCCGAAGCTATAGACATCTGACTTCATGGAGAACTGGCCGTACATTGCATACTCCGGAGACATATAGCCACTATGAATAAAACTCAAAGCTTGAGTTAATAGATGGTTGTTAAGTGTCTAAACGTATTATGTGGAAAATGAAAAACTTACTAGGTTCCCACTACTCTTCTTGTACTGGCCTCTGTTTGGTCTATTCCAAAAATCCTAGCCATTCCAAAATCAGCAATTTTTGGGTTCAGAGAAGTGTCCAAGAGGACGTTACTTGCTTTGAGATCTCGATGAATGATTGTGAGTCGTGAATCTTGATGAAGGTATAGAACCCCTCGAGCAATTCCTCTAATGATATTGTGCCTTCTTGTCCAATCTAGCTTCGCTTTTAGTGTAGAGTCTGGACCATTGGTGTTTTACAATGTTATAGAACAGTAGCCTCAAGAATGGTTGAATAATGAAAAAAATTGGCCTAAATATTGTATATATATTAACTGACCAAAGAGGAAGTTATCAAGACTTTTGTTAGGCACATACTCGTAGATGAGTATTTTCTCTTCTCTTTCAAAACAAAATCCGAGAAGCCTGACTAGATTTCGGTGCTGAAGCTTTGCCACAACAATTACCTCATTCTTGAACTCTTTTTCGCCTTGTACCGATGTTTTCGATAGTCTCTTCACCGCAACTTGTGATCTATTAGGAAATGTTCCCTACAAAGAATATATATGATGTGATAGTCCCTACTAACCAGGAAGCTCAATGAATCGGTAGATCTACCTTGTAAACTTCTCCAAATCCACCTTGACCGAGTTTGTTTCTTTCAGAAAAATAATCGGTTGCTGCTTCAACAGCTTTAAAATCAAACTGCAATGAGCCAGCGGTTGTAATATCATCCCCACCTGAAAATTCATATGTATTAAAAGCATTAATCTTCATAAAACTTTCTAAGTTGTAGTGTATTTTGGAATTTTTACCACCATCTGCAGTTGCTGTCTCGTAAATATTCTTCATTCTCGTTGTTACATAGAAGCTAGAAATAACTAAAAAAAGAAGAACATAGACAGCTAGCGGCACCACAATTGCTATTATTATAACTCGCATGGAGTTCTCTTCTTTTCCTGCCAAAGTATTAGACCATACATGACACATATGACTTAAATCAAAAAAAAAAAATTACTGGGGGAGAGAGAGAGGGAGGGAGATCTTTTACCAGGCATATCGTCAGAGGCAACTTCTTGATAGGTTTCATTGTAGAAAGGGTAAATATCGTACCTTAAGGTACAGCTCGGGGAAAGAAGTCTTGCTCCCATTTTGTCACGAGACAAGTTTTTGATGGTTTGTTGCAGACAGCTTGAGCACATCACTGGTGTCAGATCAGGCATGCACTGAACTAATACATAAACCGTTTGAGATGGTGCGTAGGTCTCCTTCTTGAACGCAAACTTTCTTGGACTAGCAGTAGCCTCCTCTGCAGCTTCGTTCATCAAAGAAAGGACCACCTTACTGAACCGAACAGGTTGGTTTTTCTTACCATTATGTTGGTTTACTACCATCAGATCTCCAGTTTTAGTTACAGGATCCAAGAGGATACTGCGGTCAGTGTATAGAAGCATGCATTCATCATAATAAATCAAAGCTTCCTTTTCATTTGGACACAGATTCAGAGTGTCCTTGACGGCAAAGCTGACGCAGTCACGGCATATTTCAACCGATACGTCTCCACGACAGAGGAAAAGTCCGAATACCATGTCAGGATTTTGTCCCTCTGTAAGTCGTTGGAATCCATAGGAGAAAGAATGATTGTACCTTGAAGAAAGAGAGAACAAAAGTGTTTCGAGGTTTGAGGAGTATGCGCTGTTTTTTAGGTAAGTTTTCTCTGGTTGACAAACATAACCGACGTAAGTCGGTCTGTGTTGCTGTACAGAAGGTTTTAGGCTGGTAAGGAAAGTGAAAAGGAAGAGGAAACCATAAGCAGTCATTTTTCCTTAAATGTTTTTGTTTTTTTATGTTTTTTTTTTTTCCTTTTTCATTGATGGTCTTAAATAATCTGAAGCCAAGTAAGAGTGTTGCTTTCTAAGAACATAAGATTTTTCTAAGTCCAAGTCAATGCTTAAAACCATAAGACATGTCTACTTGACGCATGACTAGTAACACATCAACTTTACATCTGTTGTTTTAACCAATAAGCAACTTTCAGTTTGGTGGATACTCTTATTTCAGTAGGTTGAATGCTATTTTTTTATCTGTTGCTTTATTTAGTGTGTAAGGGCATGATTATCTCACAAACCCTTAATGGGATTCTTATTTTTTAAATTTTTTATAATTTTTTGGTCTACAAAAAAAAATTAAAAAAAACAATCGTGAGTTGTCATGTGTCAGTAGAAAAACAATGAAATGAGAAGAGATTTAATTGAAATTAACAGTTTTATTTAGTTATTAAATTATAATTAAAATGTGCCATAATTTAATTACTACTAGATTTTGACGCGCGCTTGAAAGCGCGGAAATTTTTTATAGCTAAAATTTATATAATTGGGTTATGTCTCAATTTAAAGAATGTTATGGTATAAAATCATTTTATCAAAATTTGTGGTGACGATTTTTTTCATTAGTTTTTAGTTTCAGTTTTTATTTTTAAATTTTGCATTTTAGTTTTTAAGTTTCTATTTTTGATTTTCATCTTTTATTTGGGTTTTTAATTTTTTTTAGATCCGCTGAGTTAGTTTGAACTGATATTACCAACAAACAAATTTCAAATAATCAAACATCTAATTTAAAACTGAAAAGATGACAAAAATTTTTTTAAAAAAATTGCAATAGTTTATTTTGTAAATAAACAAAAGCAAAAACTATAACAATATGTTATCCAGAACAATGCGTTTTGAGCTTTTGGTTTTGGGTTTTAGTTTTTAGAATTGGTTTTTGGTTTTGCTTTACATTTATTTTTTTTAATTCAGTAAATTATTTAAGAAAAATAAAACAATAAATTATTTAAAAGTTACCATTGAAATTTATCAAAAAAAAGTGATTGTTATTTAAAATAAAAAAATACAATAACATGTTTTAAAGTATATGATTTAAATAAATGATTAATAATAGACAATTTTGTTTTGTTAAAAATATTAAATACAATGTTTTTGGAGTTATTTCTTAATAGTAAATCTAAAAATCAAACCATATAATTTGTCCTAAAAACAAAAGTAAACCCAAGACTATATCCCATATATAACCATCGGTTTAATTTAAGTAATGCGGTTCAATTAACTATATGGCTTGTTGTAACACTCTAGAAAGAGTCCAAATTTAAATGACAATTTGTATTAGTAGAAAAAAGAAAGACTCTATTTTAATAGAGTAGATGTTTAAATTATATTTTCATCACAATATGTATGAATTAGGCTTTAGCTTTATTTTAATTGACTAAACCCACATATAGATATTGCCAATAGCATAAAAGTATAATTTTTGAGGAAAACTAAAGGATATTTTCTATCTGTACTCTACAGTTTTAACAGATTAGATTTTAATAGGGTTTTTCTAAAGCCATGTGTTACTAATCTTCTAAAGCCAAGTGCGCTGATAAGTCTTTGTATCTTGTCTTCACTTCGTCTTCAGTGGACGAAGGTCACGAAGCTTTCATTTTCGTTACCATTTTCTTTTGCTTTATGTTCTATTTTCTTTTCCTTTGCTTTACTTCTACTTCGTCTGGATGCTTTTGGCTATTCCTCGTTAGGGGAATACATTTACATCTTTATTATTACTAGATTTTATACTCGCGCTACGCGCGAGTCTGTTTTAATAATTTAGTTTAATTAAAATAACTTAAAACTAAAATATTAATTGAGTAATATAATTTTCTTATTTAAAATATAATCTTTAATTTAGTATTTATGTTTTCTTATAATTATGTTATCTTATTAGCTATTTAGTTATTTGTATTTGTAAATATAATA